CATGTTTAAAGGAGACAAACAAAATTTGTAAAATAGAGTAATTTTCTCTGTTTTAGAGCCTTCTGTGGATTAGTTTATGCACGATACTGCTGATGCTTGGTAACCCAATGCACTGCTTGTTAAGAGAATTCAAATCATAACTCTACAACTGAGTTGCATCTGGTCTTAGAATGACAAAAGTTGATGCTACTCTGGAACCAGTATGTTAATGTATCAGCTCATGCTGGGATCCTTTAACACTTTTAAGTTGTTCCGTAGATATCCACATGAAGCTTAGAGGATGTGTTTGTAGGAGATGTATTCTCATGTCTCTCTTCCTCCTTTTCTGCCTATAAAGTTGCAAAACAAATACTCAGGTACTGTGATTCTTACCTGCTGTCCATTTCTATTACCAGTTATACAAGTAGGATTTACTGTTATGAACACGAAATCAGTGTTTGGTGCTTGCAGACAAAACACTGCAAGCAGTATGGACACATACAAAAACATGGTTCTTGTCCTAGACTCATGTGGCATATGATGACAGTTGATACTTGTGCAGCATATAATATCTGTTAATTTACTAGCAATTAAAAGTGTATCTTGTTATTCATTCTGCACCTGTTTTTCAAGCCAACAGTTACTCATTTCTCAGAGACAGCAAAGCTGAAGTGGAGTTTGAGTGGTGATCTCAATCTGTGGCTCATGATACAGCTGGGAAGTGACTGCCACTGTGGCTAGATTGACTGCAAAGCAATGATGTGATTTATCATGCTTGAACTGTTCTCCATGGGCCAGCGAAAACCCTAAGGAATTCACAGGTGAAGAGGATGGTGACCTGACATAACTGTTTCAGGTGGCATGCTCCATCTAGGAGAAATTCCCAGGTCTTCTTAAAAAACCACCAAAACACCAGAGAACACAAACTGAAATCTTTCCCCAAATTTTAACTCACAGGATTATGAATCAAAATTGGACAATATCTTTCAGGTGTGGGACAAATTCCTGCTCATGGACATTTGTGGAACTCTGGGTTTATGAGGGGGAAGCTGTTTGCCATTTTGTTCTAGCTTCAGGACCACCACTGAGGGACATCATTGCTACAACACATTGTGACCATCCTGATGTGTGGCTGGACTACCACTTGTGAGAGCAGAGGAAGGAAAAAATTGAAAAGATCCCCACCAGCACACCAGGAGGAAGGGGGAGGTCTTCTTTGATTTTCTCATTAGGAAGAAATGAGGCTTCTGTGAAAAGGAAATAGTCTTTGTCACTGGGAGTGAGGGCTCCCAGTTATGCAGGAGAATAGGTACTGGGAAGACTTTAATATATGGCAAGAGCAGACAAGAAATACAATTTGAAACACTAGCCCAGTAGAAAAAAGATAAAATACTTAAGTGAAATTCATTTTACCCAACTTCAGCTCTCTGAGTTTATGCAAAACACCCCAAGCTTTCAAAGTTAGATAATGTAAGTCCTGCCCTAAAGCTTGCCCAAGTGGAACAAGGTTGCAGTGAAAGGGATCTGAAAAGAATTATGTTTAGGTTGACAGATGAGAAAAATGAGCTTTAATTGCTTCTTTTTCCCTTTTTGCTTTGATTTGAGCAAAAAGAGAAGAATATGGTTTTCAAAGAAAGCTCCTTGCCTTACATAGGCAAGTGATAGATGTCTGTAGATGTCTGCACTCTGCCCCAAAGACAATACCTGGTGCAAATGCACTACCGTGTGCTTTGTGTGACAGGAACGGGCTCTTCTGTGGCCTTGTTCTACAGCATCATCTCAGACTGAAAAGCATGCAACCAACAACACCAGCGATGTGGCTGCATTTATATAATGAACAGATGTGTGAAAAATAGCTATAGCCTTAATTTTGTTTTTGACACTCTGCCTTAACACCACACATCCTCTCTGTAGCACGCTCTATAGCAAGACTGAGCACACACAGTGCTCAGTGAGTCCTGCTCTCGCACAGCCTGCTGTTCAATACAAACCTAACCACAAGAGTTGTGACTAACAGATGTGACCTTTTATTGGTTTGCTTATAATGCACTTGAAGATGGGACGAACCCACAGTGTATCGCCTTTGCTTTGGCTGTGTGATCTAACAGCTCTTCAGCATCATGGGCTTCCCAGAAATGAGTTCTGGGAAAAGACCCACAGTGTGGTCTATGAGGAGGGCAATGAGGACAGTCATCATTTCTGAAGAGCATTCCTAATTCTGGCACTAATTTTCAAAGAGCTGAAGGTTGCTGCTGAACCAGGCTAAGAAGTCACCATCCTATGTTTTACTCTATTCCTATCCACAAGGATCTCTTGCTCTTCCATCTGCTAGGATAGCAGATTTACTCCATCTGTCCAGTGGGGGGAAGGAGGCCCAAGCAAGAAAAGGTTGTCTCCAACTGAAGTGAATGATTTTGACAGCAAAGGCAGAAGCTACACTTGAAGTTGCCTTTCGTATTCTAGCTAGGAGTGTGGGGCACAAAACTGAGGATAAGCTGGGAGCAGCAACCACCTATCCCAACTCAGAGAAGGAGGACACTCCTCAGCGACACTGTGCAAATTGTTTAACAATGCAATTCATCTTTCTCTTGGGACTGTAGGGAGAAAATTCCATGTAACAGTGATGCTGTGAAGCTTAAACAACTCTTTCAAAGAGAATAAAAAATTTAAATTTTTCTTTAGTTTTCATTTAATGTTCATTTTTATGGTTTCAAGCTTGAGGAGGTGAGGGGAAAGGAAGGAAACACCTCCAAGCTGTGGGGTTGAGGATACATTATTCTATCAATTTTACAAGTCAAAGCTCTGGCACAAATGATATACAGGAAACAAAACATATTTCTACAGGAAAAAATGCAGCTACACTACATCTGTCAAAAAATAATTCAAATCCCAGCTACTCACAGGGAAGACAAATTCTCAGAAGCTGTAATGCTGAAAGAGACCTAAAATAGCAAGAGAGCAGGCAGTAAATTAGGCCCATAGTTTGACATGACGAGAGGGGAAAAAAGCAGAAACAAGAAAACAATAGGATAGTAGATTCATAACCAGAAACTGTAGCAAAGGCCTCTGTTAAGGCTACTGTAGCATAAACTCCCTGGAATACTGCATTCAAACCTGAACATCTTTTCATCAAAAAGACGTCAGCAAACATAAATGAATTATTATTAAAAAAAAAAAAAAAAAAAAAAAAAAAAAAAAAAAAAAAAAAA